ATGTAGATTGATTTTTTCCAATCTGCCCATCCAACGGACGGATGACGAATTAGAGATTTTTCAGCTACAACTGAACTGCAAACACCCCTAATTTTAGTAGGTTTCACATCTATCCTAATCCAATCAATTCCCTATAACCAAAACAAACAAGTTCTTTATACTTTGTCTCTAGTGTGACATCAATTTTATTGTTTCAGTATTAATTGAATTAAAAGTAGAATTATTTAGAGAAAGAATTCCTAAATTATTAATATCGTAAAAAATGTTAATGCAATATATTTAATTATTAAAATGTTTGACATCTCTGTTATTATTTTACCCCCATTAATTATATCATGAGATACCACTCTATCTCTTGAACTATAAAAACAAATAATTAAAACCTTTCAATTTTTAAAATGCCACACTTGATGTCGTTAATGAAAATAGTAAAATGTCTAAATTGTTCTATTTATTTTTTATTTTTTTTATTATATATTTGACACATCTATTATCTCTTTGAAATTTATCAGAAACCACAAATTTAAAAAAAAAAAAAAAAAAAAAAAACCTTAGTCCTATTGCCTCACTTCCACATTCCGTTTCAGAATAAGATCTTTTTTTTTTATTAAAACGAAAAAATTTGTAATGGTTTTAATGGATATTTCAAAGAGAGAACAAGTGTGCAAGACATAGAAAAGATGAGACAATTTGGTTATTTCACCATTTTCATTAGTGACACCAGGGTGTGTGACATTTTGATAGTTAAAAGGGTCTAATTTGTGATGTGTGAATAGAAACTTTCAATTTCTTGTAACACGTTGAAATTTATTCTAAGTTAGAAGTTAAAAGTTTATAAAATAAAATTTAAAAACACTTCTCCACAGTTTCAAGAGAATTGATTTTTTTTTCCTTTTTTAAAATTTAATTAAACCTTTTTTACCACATAAATTATTAGCAAAAATTATAACTAACAATCTGAAATTGGAAATGTTTGGTCCGACATTGTAACCAAATATTTTAATTATGTTAATAATTTTTTTTATTTTTTTTTTTTGTCAGACAACTTTGGGTTAACACATTTTATTTTCTTTAATATATTTTTAGGATTCAGTTTCTCTCAAATTTAGATCTAAATATAAGAGAACTTGACACGCCAATGAAGTCCATCATAGCCTCATAGGTCTCATTTTGATAATTTGAACTGTTCATTTTATAAAAATTTCACTGTTCATTTATGTTCATTTTAATACTTTAAATCATAATTATTTTTATTTTTTTAAATACAACTATAAATGGATGAATGGATAAACGATATCCGATTAACTTAATTTTTTACAGACATATCTTATTTGATGTATTCTAAAATATAAATAATTCGAATTATTAAAATAAATTCCAAAACAAACTTATTTTACAGCACAGTAGTTATTGCTGCGCAGCCAGCGCAGCAGTACCCCAATTCCTTCATCTTTCCAACGGCAGTTGAACCATTCAATTTATGTTTGAATTATGTTAGTTCAAGTGGTCATTATTAGTTCAGTCTCAGTTTTCAATAGTTAGTGAAGTGTAGTTTTCAAAGTCAGCATTCTAACCTCTGCAAGACGTTTTGCTTCCAACTATCAAAATTAATTGATTTATGTCATTATTGTGTTTGAAATTTAAATTTGGTGAGTAATTTTGAATTTGAAAAACAATTTATCAAAGAAAAAGCAAAATTAGGAAAATTGTTATTCCTTTTTTCTATTTTCTCCGTGAATTCATTCATAAATTTAAGATCCAAACACAATTTTAAAATAAAAAAATTAGTCAAGTGTTTCAATCTATTAGATAAAGATACATCTAAAAATCTAAATTTAAGGATAAATATTTAGGTTACATTTGGACGATGAATTTTTTAGATAAGAATTTAGAGAGAAAAATGAAATATAAGAAAAATGTGAATAAAATATAAAATATTTTTTTTTTCCTTTCTCTCATTTTTTTCTTTTTCCTTTTTAAAATCCTACCTAAATTCAGCCGTACCAAACAAGAATCAACATGAGACCTTCATGAACCTAACTAAATTAGAATTAGTAGATAGTAAACTTGTAAATTTTGGATTGGCTGAGTGATTTGTACATGGAAAAAGATAGGGAGAAAATGTAGAATTTTCTTCGTCTTTTTTTTTTTTTTTTTTTTGCTTGCTAAAGATAAAAAAACAGAATTTTTTTTTGTATTTTGTTATTAAAAAAAGTGAGCATGTATAAATTATTGCATTTCCTTTCATTTTCCAATCCTCTGATAAATCCAAGATTAAAAAAAATATATATGTGGTTTATTTTCCTTCCAAAAAATATATATTACAAAAATAAACAAAAAAGTAAAATTTACAGCTTATCTTGTAAATAAAATTGTCAAATTTTATATTGCATAATAAAAGGGAAACGACAAATCAATCAGTGGGCTCGGAGTTAGGGTAAATGATTACAGAAAAGTGAGAATCTTTTATGCAACCTTTGTTATATTTGTTTGTAATAATACTTGAGACTATTAAAAGTGATGTTTTAAAAGCACTAATGTGGTAGTAGATGAGACCCATTGCTTGTGTCATATGTTTTTTTTTTATTATTATTAAAGTGCTTACCGACTCATTAATGGTGCTTTAAAACACCACTTTTAATGAGATGTATCATTACCCATTTGTTTGCACAAAAAGTCTTGCACTCTATATATTTATAATTATTTTTGGTCAAACATCCTAATCTATAGTTGCCACAATAATAAGGGAAAAAAGGAAAAATTATTTTAATTTTTTTTTTTTTGAGTTTAACCCTTGTAATAAAATACATCTTTAATTATTAATTTTATCAATTTAAATTATAATTTTTTAATTTATTTTTAATTTAAATTATTGTTATATTTTAGTTAACCATTAGATTCAATGTAGGTGTATATAAATAAAATATATTTTTTCATTGAGTTTGATGATTAGAAATAGACAGATGATTTAAATTGAAAACAAATACAAAATTTAGAATTTAAATTTACCAAATCAAAAACTTAAAAAGGTCAAATCCTTAAAAAAAAAAATTTGTAATTTTCCCAAAAGCAAAATACCATTTAGTAGAAAATAAGGCAAATATTTACTCAAGGATCGTCTTGGGTACAATTTTTTATGTGTTTTTTGCACATAATTATACCTCCATATATATATATATATGTATATATATATTGATTAGGCTTCTAAATATGCATTTTTGCTATATTTTCCTCCATCACTTGCAGGAATATGTATATATGGTCTGCTCATGTATTTTAAAAAAAAAAAAAAAAAAAAAAAGGAAAAAAATGATTATTTTAAAGAAGGGCCATGTACAAGTTATAAGTCAATTTTTTATCAATCTACCTGACACATTCATTTTTTTTTTTTCTTCTTATCTATCATTTTTTTTTTTGTTGGTAAATATGCAAAAGTTAATTGTTGTTAAATTAGCTCTGAAGAGAGTAAAAACCCCAGCCATTTAAGTAAAATTTGTGTATGACTTTCACTTTTTCATTCATTTAAGTAAATTCACAGTACTACATTAGTTATGCAAATTTAGCAGACATATATTTTGTGTGCGAAAATTCTACGATAGACTCTTAAAAGGTTTGTACTATATGTCCTAATTATGAAATTTGTTATCTTAATTATTAATTAGGTGGTGCGTAGTTATAAAGTTTTGTCGTAGTCAAATTAATGATAAATTTAATTATGAGAATTTTTGGTAGTTAGCTATGAGACTTTTGTGGTGTTTTTAGTTATAACACAAATTGATTTTAGTCATGTGATTTTGAGGTGTATGAATATGAATCGAAGTTGCCTTACTTTTTTATCAACCAAAATGGTTCGAGTTATGAGGTTTTGTTGTACTTTTTGTTATGAATCAATTTGTTAATTGTTATGGCCCAATTAATAAAAGTTATGAATCATTATAACTGAGTTTTTTGGTGCTTTCCTGAGAGGATCTTGATGTACTTTTTATTATAACAAAACACGTTAATTAAATGCATAACTCAACAATTAAAATTGAAATTAAAATAAAATAAAATAATATTAAACCACACAACCTAAAACGAAATAGTTTTAATTTTACTTTAAATACATATCGTTGGACTTTCACAAAGAGGTTTATTGCACAAAAAAAATATTATGTAAATTAGTATTTTATATTATGTAAACATTTGACAATTATTTAAAATTATGTTTTAATCAATTAACAAATTAAAACAGTTCAAACTATAATTTGATTATTTATCAATTCTTCATTCAAAATTTAATTTATAATTTTATTCTCAAATATTACCGAAACTCACCGTCCACAAGAATACGATTTTTGTAATCATGAATTTCATAAGTATATTGGGCCATGTGGGCCGCAACTCTTTTAAGTGTTAGCGATTGAATTTAAGGTCAAGTTTGGGGAGATTAAATAAGTGTATTTTTTTATTTTTTATGAAATATGGATTAGATTTGGATTGGGTTTGAAGTGATGTGTTAGAGAGGTAATGTAACTTAAATAAGATGATGTGACTTAAATATAATAGTGACTTTTTGACTTTTTGAATTTTTTGGAAGATGCCAAACTTGACCTTAATAGTAGAAATAAATAAAGAATAATTATTCAGATAACCTTGCTTTTTTAATTTGAAGTATGATATGCTGATCCAATTTCATGAAATAAAATTATTTTTTTCAGTCAGAAACAAAACCAACAGACTAAAAAATCATTTAAATATTAAAAAAAGAAAAAAGAAAAAAAAGTGATCTTCTAAGTGAAAAGCTCTTGAGGAATTTTGTAAGATTCAATTGTCAAACCAACACCTCACCAAAAAATAAATAACTAAATAAAATTTTATTTATATATATAAAAAATAAAATAAAAAAAAGGGTAAAAATTTGTGCTGTGTTTCTGATTCTTTCGTGTTTCCAGCAATACGAGTCATCAAACTTATAGATCTAACAATAAGCACCACAGGCGATTAATTTGGAGCCCGAGTAAACGTAAGTTTAAATCCAGGGAAAATCCTTTATTACAGTGGTTAGCAAGAAAGTTCACAGTTGATCCAATGCATGACAGTTCCATTAAAAACTCTTGAGAGACACAGCCTGACATAGCATAACAAAACTGTATTATGCCCAACCAGTGAAAAGGGCTACTAAACATGCCTGAATTTCGAAAAAATGACCCCACAAGATTATCAGAACTGGAACTGCATCTCCGGTGCATATCCAAGAGCTTCAAGGTGAGCAGCCATCGCCTTGTTCATAGGTGGTGGGCCACACCTCAGGATCTGTGCATGTTCCAGCATTTTAGGGTTAACCATTTTAGGTATTGAAAAAGTAAGGTACATGTATGTTAGGGCTGCAAAGCCGAAATATTAGTGAGCTCGGCTTGATAAGAGCTCAACTCGACTTGGTTCATTAAGTAAACAAATAAGCTCGAACCTAGACTTTTAAGCTTGTTTAATAAACGAACCTAACTCGAGCTCGAGTATTATTTATTTAAATAACAATATAAATAGATTATTTATATATTAACGAATGTAAAAATGTGTATTAATGATAAGATAAATACATTATTTGTGTATTCAATAATATTATTTATATATTTAAATAATGTAAATATTTATCAAGAAAATTTTTTATTTAAATAATATAAATAATAGCCAAGAAAAATATTCATTATCAAGCTTCAAGCCGGGCTCAAACCTTGCAAAGCTCGGCTCATTTGCAGTCCTACACATACGAGAGAAGGCTTCCAGGCATTCAAAGAGAAGGAAACATAAATATACCTGAATATCAGATGATGGTGCAGGGCAGTGGGTTTGAATCATTTCCTTGGATACAAACCCGACACCGCCATTCCATACCTCAGGAGGCTGCAGAGGTATTTAAGCAGGCCGTTAGTTCATCAGTAGAGACAAAATCAAAGTGGGTCTATCTACACGATACATGTATAAGATTGGGACCTGTCCTGCAGCTATATAATCTTACCCACGAATCAAAACATTGAAGCACATCAAAATATGACGTGATAATATGCTAACAGCAACCCTCGAGTGACATATCAATTGAATTTGTTTTCCAACTAACTATGCAATTCCGATGCATCAATATTCACAAAACTGTGTTCGTTCATTGACTAAACTAGATAAACAACCTTGAAACAATGAATAGCTTCTTAAATAAGCTCCCTGCAAAGAACAAACATGCTTATTTTCATGTCAAGATACTCTTTCCTATGTATTATATTAGACAGGGCCGGAGAAAACCAAAAATGTATATCCAGTTTACTCCCCATTAGATTGAGGACAGGGAGGGGTAGATTCGGTACAAACCTAACTTTTCGCAAGATTTGTATAAAGTGGTTGTCCTCAGGTTCGAATCCACAACCTCAAGGTTGATAGGCCGAGTTTAACCACTGAACCAGTGGCCAGGGAAAACTTATGAGTGCATATTTCAATCTTCCCCAAAATTACAACAATCATTTGGTAAATGTAATAGTTTAACTGAGAGAGAGCAACAAAAACAAGAGCAGATGTGCCATGCTAGAATGATGACTGACCTGATTCAGCACATAGTAAATCTTGAAGCGATCAGGATAGTTAGAAGCAAGGCCATCCAATTCTTCCTGCAGATAGATATCCAGAATGTTAATTGATTCATTCCATTTTTATCAACCACATGTCGGTATATCTTGATTCATTGCATTAATTATTACATCTAAATCTATAATAGTTCAAGTCACAGCACTAGTAGTAGCCCCCATCATATGATGCAACACAATGTGCCAATGGTAATCCTTATTCGTAGAAGCAGCCAATTTCCCATACCAAGGGAGAAAATGATGCAACAATTGAAACAACTAATGCATGTCATACATGTAAACAAAAAATTGAAGCTTTATAACTAAAAAAAACATTTCATAAATTGAAGGGAGCTGCATATTCAAGTAAAATTTACTAACGAAGTAATCACCTTTCTTGGGAGGTTCTATTTTCACACACCACATTATCTCAGTACACATTGAATTTGCAAATTTTTGGTTCGGAAGTCGACTTCTGAACTAAATAGTTTTGTACAAAAATCAACTTCTAAACCAAAAATACAGCCAAATCAAATAATTTTGTTCGGAAGTTGATTTCCGGACCAAATAGTTTTATTTGGAAGCTGATTTCGGGAACAAAAAAAAAACAAAAAAAACAAAACAAAATGAGAGAGAAGAAAAAGATGTGTGCACCAAGACAAAACCACGGGTGAAAATAGAAGCTACTGTCATTCTCCCATGCTGTTTTTCAGTATGTTAGCGCCACCCAAATCCAGCAACAAGCAATAACTTCCTCTTTGTAATTCTAATTTTCTCAGCTCTAGACACTTCATCAATCTGGATAATGAAGATTTTTTGCTCAATCTTTAAATCCCTGTCACAACTATATGTTCTCATTTTGAAATACTATAAAGAGCCGATGAAACTGATTAACATAAATGTATAGGACTCTATCGAATTTACCGAAGAACAACCAAAGGATACTTCTGCATTCAAGATAAGAAGAACAGACAACAATGGACTGATAACCAAAGACTAAGAAGAATGACAGTGAGTGAAGATGAAAAGACACTAACGGAAAAGGATGAAAGTGAGGTAAAATAGAAGAAATCGACTCTAATTGTATCATGCAACCAATAAGTGGAGAATGAAGGAAAAGGATGAAACTGAAAGAGAATAGAAGAGCAAAAAACAATTTTTGAAAATGAGACCCACTATTTTGAACAATTTTTTGATACAAGACAATAAGGAAGACAAAAGAAAGAGAGAATAGAAGGGAAGAAAGAAAGAAAAGAATAGGTCAAGAGATAAGAGAGACCATTAGGGTTATCTTCATAAAAACTCTATTATATAATAAAGCAGGTTTATGTAGGAATTTAAATGATAGCCCTAACATAATCATCATTACTACATTTTTTTATTTTATGTTTTTTTTATTGGCATTGGGGTGTTCGGATCAAAACCCGACTAATCCCCTGGGGTGCACAGGCCCTCGGTAAGGAGTTTCTCGCAAGTGTACCATAGTTAATTCAAGAGTTTTTCCCCAATCTGATGGACCAAGGAATTGTTAACACTTAAGAGGTTTCGATCCCTGAACATTACAGGGAGTACACCCCCAAGACCCAAGGCCTTACCACTAGGCCAACCCCTTGGAGTTATAATCATCATTACTACATAACATCATCTCAACCGTGAATGTTCACCAAACTCTAAAAGACAGAAATCTTGGCAAGTGACAAAATTCAGTTACTGGTTTTTATGTTCAGTCCAATGTTTTAATCGTCGAGGAGGTTATGTTAAATTAAGTTATTTGGTAAAAAGTTATTATCTTTCCATTGAACATATTACTTTTTGTCTTTGTTTTAAAGGGTAATAATAGGTTGAAGTCGCAATGCAAGAACATACACCACACATTCAAACCTTTTTCTGTATTATCCACACCATTCACAACTGTAATTTATTGTTCTTTAATGGTTGTAGATAGCTAGAAACAAAAGCTTTGAATTTTCCAGAGACATCACCTAACCAACACCTCATTAAGAGATCCTAATCACCAAGGCAATACCTAGCCTGCACTCCCTACATTGAGATGGTAAAGAAAGCCTCTGGCTGAAAACTAAGCACCATATACTAAATAGGAGAAAATTCCCATCTTGGACGAGCAAAATGAGTTCTACTTCCCAAAACAGGGCCAATATGTTTTTGGCCAACCTAGGTAATGACCAACTCATACAGATTCTAAAGATTTCATTCCTCTAGTGGAGTCATGCCAGCACTTGTATGGCCCATACTAACACAAAGTGAGATAAGAGAATTACCTTTACAAGAATGTCCTCAAATGTAACATTAGCATAAATGAGATGCACCTTCGTCACGTCCTTTGGGTTTTCTAAAATAGCTCTTGTAACCTAAAGTGGAAACAGATCAGAACAAAACAAAGCAATATAGGAACACCAAAACCTTTAAGAAGACATCAATCTAAAATAATTAATATATCTTGATAATTAGATCAAAATACATATCCTAGATTCTCAAATACATACCTGGAACATTGGAGTAATGCCAGAGCCACCAGCAAGCATACCAAAGGCTCTCACTTGGCCAGGTTGATACTTAAAACGGCCCTGGAACAACAAAACCGCCCCAATATGATCACTTTCATGCAGTAGTAACTTCATATCTATGAAGCGTCAATAACCCAACGCATTTATATTATGAGAATAAGAATCCAGGTTAGTTAAGTTCAAGAACCAATACTTGGCAGTCCGGCAGCTATATAAATGTTAATTTAGGCCATTGATACATTACATGAGCCAAGCCACTAATCATGTCTAATGTGTTTATTTAAAATACAAGATAGGATCACTTGATATTAGAGAGAGAGAGAGAGAGACTTTCCATAAATAATTAAACTTCTATTTCCTTAAAATCAAGTTGCTTGGCAAACAACAGTGATAAAGTTTCAGACACAGTTTTTTATCACTCAATGCAGCTTTGCAACCACCCCCATAGAAGCTTTCTCTAACAAGAAAACAATATTTTTTTGGACGAATATTGCCAACTATTTAAGAACTTCAGTTCACCATAAAACTAACATAAGTATTCACTTATTGCAGTTCAAATGACTTGGGATCTTGAAAAGTCAACCTATCATATGGAGAAAAAATGGAAATGAAGCAAAATAACTTCAACTATGCCAAGCGAATACTGAAAAAATAAGCACTTTTAAACATATTAAAAAATGGTATAGTCCAAGACCAAAGAAAGTTGTTTTATGAACATACACTCCAGATTTTATTTATTTTTTAATAACCATGAACCGTGTCCTAGGCAAGGTCCTTTGGGCCCACCCTAGGAGTGTAAACATGAGGATCAAGCAACGCCCCTAATCACATGATTTGGGAAAACGGAAGGGGCCGCCAAAAGTCAAACTTGAGCTGGGCATGTGGGTGGCAAACACATTGCCAACTAGATTACCCCTCAGGAGTATAAACTCTAGATGGTTGGTAGGTTGACTTATCTGATTGACAGTTCAAGACATACTTAATGTCATAAATAGGGTCAAATACACACTCCTCACCTATTACAGGGAAGTGGCATTAAGTAGTTATAGTGGTGACACAGTGTAAGGCAGAGAGAGTGTCGATATTTGCTTTGGATGTTCCAAATGGAACCAGCTGCATCTAGTACTTTATCCACGAAAAAAATATGGTAAAATTGGAAGCAAAACAAGAAAGGTACAGTAGGTGGCATGCTTCACTATCAGCATAGCTCGAACCAAGTGGTTGAGAAGCCCTCCAATACAGAGAGATCTGTGCAGAAGTTGCTATACCCTTGTATATCCCTTAACAAGTGGTCTCTTAAGACAGCATTCACAAGTCACTCTAACCAAGGCATCCAGCTACACTCTATAACCCAAAGTTGGTTACAAAAAGGTCAACATCCATTAAGAATAACAAGTAAACAAATAAACAAAAAAAGAAAAAGAAAAAAAAAGGGGATTCAAGAATTTTACTCAGTTGAAGGTAGTTCAAAATTGGTTAGCAATAGGAGAAACATTGTCAATTGTGCAGTTAAAGAGCCCTAATAATATATTTGGACCGACAAAAGAATACTGCCTAAAGGTACCTATGAAAATATGGAACAATCACTACAAAAAGATGGTGGTAACACAGTTTCTTCAGAGATGTTGTGGTGGCAACCCTAGTTCCTCAGGATGAGATGTACAGTCATCTCCTCCGATAGGCAGTGGAGGTGACAAAATAATTGCCCAGAGAACCATAGATGATTATGTCAAATTTACTTGAAAGTTGACATACAAATGATCATCGATGCAGATGGTGCCCAAAGCGAAAGATATTTTCCAAATTAGCAAATGCTTTGGAAGGTTTATGTCTGTCCCATACAACCACAAACAATAACCTGGAATTTCTAACTATCAAAGATGGCGCAGATTCTAAAAGGTCAATAAAAATAAACATGTTTCTTCCTAACCCAACCTCAGTTTAACACCCTTCCTTTCCGTCTGACTGCAATTTACCAACCATATATCATAATAATCAATCTATCAATTACAAGTTCATTTTAGCCAAACCTGATTATTTTCTAGCATACTTCTAGTTAACTAGACCAAAGACATCTTCGTCCAACGCCAGCAAATGTAATTTTGGCAGCAAAACAAACTCTCAAAGGATGATGCAAAAGCAGAAGCAGGCTTGGGGGAACCACCTTTACTGATAATATTACAATTTGGGTGAGCAAGTATCCAGACAACAAAATATAATAACTTAGTTCAAATACTAAGAAGTTATAAGACTACAGTTATTAGTTACAAAACTAAAAGGGTGATATGCTTCTCATTCTTTTTTCTATTGAGATTCTCCATCCAGAATTTTTAGATTGCTTTTTTTTTTTCTTTTCTCCTGACGTCTAAGGTGCTTTTATATCTTGCATGTACCAGGAATAACCTTTTTCTTTAGCTCAAGCCTTCTTATTCATCAAAAATAGACACTTACATAAAAGGATTAATTTTCATGACTTTCCTAAAGATTGTTGGCAATTTTGACTGAAAAAATACTGTAGATCAAATTTATTACCAAATAGAAATGATTGATTTCTACATGAAGGTAAAAAAATTCTTTAAGTTGGATATGAAAAGCTGAGTACAATAGCAATAATCACTTCATTATAGCACAACCTTTTATGCTAAATATCTTCGGCGCAATGCCTTTTGCTTCATTTCCATAAATTGTGAACTAATGTATCAATTATTGACTCTCCAAAAAAACTCAAAAATAAAGTAACAGCAAAAAAATAAATAACTACAAAAAGTTCACAGAAAATGCTGTCAAATGGATATCACAAATATCGAAACAATGATTTGAACTTGTAGTTGTGCAAAAGGAGGAGAAACGGTGCACTCTTCAAACATGCATTTCACTTCATTTGAATAACATGCCCTTGCATTTAATGCAAGGTACTGATGAGTATTGGAATGACCAACACCTGTCCACCTGACGTAAATGCATTAAAGCCGGAACCACCCAAAAAACCCTAAACCTAATAACATGATTGGCATAAAACCTGTCCAAGGGACAGTATTTCGGTAGTTGAACTGTCGATTTCTTGATTAAAGGCAAGGAACAAATCTACGATGATTTTCTACAAAAACATGTCCAAGGGGAAGTACTTTGGCAACTAGATGGTCGATCTCTTGCTTAAAGGCAAGGAGCAAACCTATGATTGTTTTCTACAAAAACCTATCCAATGGATAGTACTTCGACAATCGAACTACCGACCTCTTGCTTCAAGGCAAAGAACAAAAAAAACCTGTCCAATCCAAGGGACAGTATTTCGGTAGTTGGACTGTCGATTTCTTGCTTAAAGGAAAGAAACAAATCTACGATGATTTTCTACAAAAACATGTCCAAGGGGCAGTACTTTGGCAACTAGATGGTTGATCTCTTGCTTAAAGGCAAGGAGAAAACCTATGATGGTTTTCTACAAAAACCTATTCAATGGACAGTACTTCGACAATCGAACTACCGACCTTTTGCTTCAAGGCAAAGAATAAACCTACGATAGTCTTCTATTGTAACCATATTGTAGAAGCATGATTCAGACTCGGATACGAGGGCTTAACCTAATGCTAACTGATTGCATAATCATATGGTACACTGAACAGGGAATGGAATGCAATATGACATTTTAGACTGATAACATTGACATAAGGCAAAAAATAAGAAGGGCTTTTCTGATTCAAAAAGATATGCTCTGTAATTAAATTATTCATTCCAAAAATCATGTCATCAGACCATAGGTTTGGTAACCATGACTTCAACTTATATAGAACCTTCTAGCAACAAGGATTTGTCCAAACTGATGCCATACAGTACAGGGACCACAACTAAAGGGCCCATTTACAAAATACACTTGGACATGTCATTCACCAAACAGTTAAAAAGGTTTTCCGTGCAAATAAAGAAGTATATTAAGTGCACACACAAACGTCCACCAGATACTAAGCCATATAAGTACACATAAAGGTAGATTTAAAGACATAAAACAATGAACAAAATTCAATAGTATGACCAGATGCAATCTAGAATAAATAACAACATTCATCTATCTAAAGGATCCAATATGAATTCTTTCCAGCATCATTCCTTCATCATGCCTACATGGAGCCAAAATTTCTAATTATACCATAAGTAAGCTAAAATTGCTCAAATTCTTTGCCTTGTGGAGCAGACAGAACTCGGCTTATAGCAACAAGCATGCATGTAAACTAGAAAAGTTCGATGAAATCAACATTAGAGATGGGAACACATACCTTTGGTCCCTTCACAGCTAGATAATCACCAACGCGCATTTCCCGGAAATGATGTGACATCCTTCCTAGCGGATACATCTATTTATGCACATAATCATAAAACCATTAATACAATAGACATTATGCCAACAGCCAACACATAAAAATCTCCATCAGATCCCTCGTGAAAATGAATCCTTATGAACACAAGAAAGTATAGCTTCAACTATTGACTACCTACCCAAAAAAAATAAATACCTTCAAACACAAACTAAATAAATCTTGCAAACCCATGTCTAAGAATAGTGTGTGTTTTACATATACCTTGATGACTAACTCGAAAGATCCAACATCAGAGTCCAAAGTGGTTGGGGTGTAAGGTTTAATAACCTCGTCACCTTGGCCATCCTTACCCCTATTTGATAAAGCAAATATCAATCAAAATCTAATCAGGTAAAAGAGAAAGAAAGAAGACTAAAAAAAAGAACAACAGACCCAATATTTGAAATATAAAGCATCTACAAAAATACAATCAAGCACAGATTTTGAAGTACATATAGAATCACAATTGTACCTGCAGCTTATATGTTGTCCAATAGGAAGTCCCAAGACTGAAGTAGGTGTAGGAAGTTCAAATTTGAACCTGGCCACATTATGACTGATCTGGGTTTTCTTCACAAGCTTGAATTCCTTGAAGTTCTCAGGATTTAAGCACCCTATCAAGCAAATCCCATATATTATTAAACAAATACACAAATTGGTAAAAACCCAATTGGTAAAAACCCAGTTTTACAAATTGAAAAACAAACTAATTTAAAAACTGCACAAGATTGATTAGCCAGAATTTTTGAAAACCCATTAAAAATCAAGACACAAATAGACAGAAAAACATAATAAACCTTTGGGTTTTTTGGAGGAAAAGAAGAAAGCAGCAGCAGCAACAATGGCGAAAAGGGCAACAGCAACACTGACGATCTGGATATCAAATGTTTGTAAGAAATCCATTGGTATTGAGTAAGGTAAAACCCCTATCGATCTCCTCTTCCTCTTCCTCTTCCTCTTCCTCTAAATGTGGATTTTAGTGTGAGGTTTCAGAGGTTTTTTACCAATAAATGGATGGTATTTAACATTCTCCAAGATAAGAAACTGGCTCCTGCGGTCTTAACGCCTACCACCAAATCAATCATTTTTATATGGAAAATGTTCTCCTTTGTTTTTTTTAGATTGGAAAATGTTCTTCAAATGGGAAATCCTGTGCAATTTTGTGGTGTTTTGCTTATAGTTTTGACACAAAAAATAAAACAATTATAAGTTTAGCATCCTTAAAATAATTTATCTTTTTATCTTTCTTTCATCACATCACCTCTCTACTTTTCTGCACATCTTTTCATAAAAAGATAAAAAATATACTTATTTATATCATCCCAAACAATCCCTAAATATGATATTTTATATTATTACATATTTTAGTCTATTTTACTTTTATTGGCTATTTTAACTAAGAATTATGCTAGCGATTCTAAATTTATCAAATATTCTATCAAATCTCTCATATAATGTTGGACTCACACAAATCACATGTATGTGATTCTTACATCTATGTAAAAGGTTTGGCAGAATATTTAGTAATTTATTTGGAGTCTCTAGCATTTTCCTTTAAGTAAATATAGTCTCTAGCCAAACAAAGCCATTATAGTATTAGTTATTTAATAATGATTACATCACTTTTTATTTTTTTACATATTTTTTTTTATAAAAAGTTAAAAAATAAACTAAATAAGCAAACTATAAACAATATCACATTGATTAACACATTATTTTTGTTACGAAGAAGTATTTGGTTATACCTTTATGTGGTATATGATTATCATTTTTTTATTTTTTATACAGTTATGAACTCCAATAAGATTGAGTCATGATATTTATATTGATCAACCTCACTAATGTCATAATTTACATATTTTTAAAGTGTGTATCATATTATTACTGTCTTTAAATTTATGGGTAAATTAAATTTGGTCGCATTTATGTTTCGCCATTTTTTCATTTTAATTTTTGAAGTTTTGTTTTTCTTTCATTTTAGTCTTTCATATTTTAAATTTTCTCATTTCTTTTAAATTTAATTTTTATTTAAAACTAAACAAAAAAAAAATGTCATGTTACCTAACATATAACATAAAAAATATATTATTATATTATAATTTAAATTTGTGTTAAAAATGTGAGTTATATATAAATAAAATATTTTTATGACACATGACTATGAATGTTTTATTTTGTGCTTTAGTTTTGGTAGTAAAAAAAAAATAAAAAAAAATCAAAGACTAAAATAAGAAAATAGTCAAATATAAAGGGGGATAAAGTATAATTTATCTTTGAATTTATATATTTGGCTATGGTATATATTTTAATATTGTATAATTTGTTTCGGTTTTAATAAATTTTTATTCTTTGTATGTTTATTTAATTAAATATATCTGTTATATGAATATTTAAATATATTTTAAATTTATAATTAATTTTTTATATTCTCACGCATTAAAATAATTATTATTTATGATTTAAAAATGTTTTAGAGTTATTAAATTAATTAAACATCATTACTCATATACATTTATTAACATTATTCTTTATTTTTATCTATTTTAGATAGAAATATATTTTTTTTAAAGACAAATGTTAACAAATGTCCTCTATGTATATATTGTTTAATGCTGAGAAGTGTATATAAAGTGTGTTGAAAATATATAAAATTATTAAAAAATTTATAGTTTTAATTATAGTTTTAATTTCAGTAAAAATACAATTTTTTTGTATTTTACTTATACCTAGAGGCACTTGTTAGCACAATATATATATATATTTTTTTTAATGATTTTACGCCAGTTAAGAAAGAGTGATTTTGTAAATTATTAATTTTTACCTTAGGATAAGTAGAAATTATGCCTATTTAATCATATTTTGCAAAAATAGAAATAGGGTAAATTACACTTACTTTTACTAAAATTTGAAGAAAATATAATTAATCACACTTTTGATATAATTATATAACTTCCTTTAAGGTTTTAATTTACCTAACACGTATATCTTTTTTATTAGTAATTTATTAGTCATATGAATAAAAAAAAATGATATTATCATCTCTTTCCTACTAAAATATATATTTGTCTTATTTATTTTAATATCTACTCCCCATTAACATTGGTTTCAATCATTTTAGCTGTATCAAAAATAAAATTTGTGTAATTATATCAAAAGTATGAGAATAATTATATTTTTTTGAATTTAAAAAAAAATAATATAATTTATTCTTTATATATAAAAGGTAATGATAAAGTACATATCCCTCAAAAGATGGGTATCGTATACACCCTTATTACTCATTTTTGTAGTATATGTTATATATATTTTTTTATAACTGTTACGTATTTCTTCTGATTGAGTTACGATAATTTGTCGTTTAGAAATGAAATTATGTATTTCTGTGGTAATGTTACACTATTTTTTGTTAGAAAATGTTTGGATAAAAAGATATGTAATATTACCATAAAAATACATAATATTATCACAAAATGTGTAACTTCCTTGCTAAATTATAAATTATCATAATTTTATTAAAAAATTATGTAATATTTATTATAAAAATATAAAATGTATATTATAAAAATACATATAAAAAGTTTACCATACAAAGATCTGAATAAGGAGAAACCAGGGGCTATGGGTGGATAGTAGAGGTTGGGTAGATGAGAGAGAAAATGGATTGTTTATGCAGTTTTGCTTTGAATCTTGCGAGGGATACCTCACCCCCCAAAAATAAAAATAAATAAATAAAACAAAATGCGAGTTTGGTGAGGATAGGTAATGCAGTAGTCACAAACTAGCGGGAAAAGGACAGAAAGATGCGAGGAGAGAGAGGGGAGATGGGGGTAGGTGGAAGACCGAAGAAAGTGATGGAGGAGGGTTACATACACAAAACACAAGTGTATCTATCTAAGTAGTTCCCACCAAACCTTCTCTACTCTATTCTAATATTTGTTTTGGAAAGTAATAAAAAAAAAGAAGTTAATTTATTAATTTTTTTTAAAAAATATATAAAAAAATGTTTAAAAAAAAATAATGTGATCTAAATAAGTTAATAAATTAAAACATAAAAAAATCATTAAAGACAATCAAAAACTCATTTGAAAATAGTTTCTAAAAATTATAACCAAACCAGACATGTATTTGTAACCTCACATCACTGTACTATTAAAAGAAAATCTCACGCTACGTCAAATTGCATTTATTTTTAATTTTACCCTTACAATCATATTTACAATTTATTTTTTTATCTACAAATGTAATTCGATAAAGATATTATTAATATTTAATTAATTTAATTTTTTATAAATATATTTTATTTAATATTTATATAAAAAATAAACTATACAATTTATTTTTTTATCTACAAATGTAATTCGATAAAGATATTATTAATATCTAATCAATTTAATTTTTTATAAATATATTTTATTTAATATTTATATAAAAAATAAACTATTAAAATTATTAAAATATAACCTAAAACGTACCCCACACTGCTTCAGCACCGCAGTGACCCATATCTGCTACCAATTCGTCAGTAACAATTAATGTCTATTTTTATAATTCTTTATGTCAAATGGTAGCAGGAAAAGCATATACAATATAATAAATATGACAATTTCCAAATTCAAGCCCCCCATTTAGACTTCTTTCTTCTTCGTTTTTTTAATTGATTGGAGATGAATTATAGATAGGGATGTCAATTTGAACCCGACTCAACGAACACTCAATTTTGGACTCCGATTAGAATGAGTTTTCTTCGAAAATTACCTACATAGGACCAAAAATGGTATTAAAAATTAAATCCTTGATGATTTTTGGGATGTGGGCGGTTATAGGTACTCCAGCCCCAGTCTCGCTCCGAATAGCCCCCGAACAATCCCATATATATATATATATATATATTTAGCCTTTATTATATTATATCTAATATTTATCTCAAGTTCTCAACTCTCTCTCTCTCTCTCTCTCTCGTGTTCTTCTCCATCTACTCTCTGGGAGAGAGATGACGGATCCCTCTTCCAAGATATTAACTAATTCCATGACACTCAAGGATTTCCCAATGGAAAAAGCATTTGTAACACTTTGTACTTCTTGAACTAGTGAGATTGCTCTTGACACTCTTATTATTGTACTTGGAGCCTCTTTGATTCATTTTGGAATATTGATTGAGGTGGTATCATAATGGTGAAATAAGATTGAACCAAAAACATTGATTCGGATAAATTGTCCTATGAGTAGTCTTCACTCTTTTGCGTTTTTCTCTTTCCACACTTTGAGTTTGGATATGAGGTTACAACCACTGGAAATCGTGTTTCCAAGGCTTGGATTTGGATACAAGAACGACCTAAAATGTAATCCGGACGAGGCAGTTATGCCTGTTTAAAATTTGGATACCTGTGTTGGATGCAAGTCTGCTCGAGTGAACTTTTGACTGCTCGAGTAGTCTGCACGAATTATGGCACTTTAAAGTCACTTTTTAGCCCAAAATATTTATTCTTTCTTCCTCTTTTCTCTCTCTCTCTCCTCCATACCCGAAACCCTAGAACTCCAAACACTTGATTTCTCTAATTTCTCCCTTAAATCCACCCTAGCTCCTTCAAGAAAATTGAAGAACAAGTCTAGTTTGAGATATCTACCAATTGTTTCGCATTTTCTTTGAAATTTCAAGTGGGTTTCCATCTTATGCTTCCATTCTTGAGGTAGGGGTATTTTTAACTTATTATATCTTTAATTTGAGACCCATATGTGGTAATTTCATTAGATATTCACCTTTGTAGATATATATATACATATTTGTATGGATTGTGTATGCTAATAAATGATTTGGAAGGATGTGGGCAATAATTCATGATTATGGATGGAATTATGTCTATTATTGAAGATTATTGTTGTTGATGATGAAAAATAGTCTTTAATTCATGAAAGAGAGAAAATCCCTAATTTTCTACAGACCCTAGTTTTGAAACTTGTTCAATAAAGAGGGTTTTGCTCAATTGATTTTTAAAACATGAAATTGGGTGTGTTTATTCGACTTTGAGGTCGAACTATGAATTATTGGATTATTGTGAATTGAATCATCCTAGGGGAAATTGAAAACTTTAAATTCATACATCATATACAATATTTAATTCTTCTTGTGATACTAA